CCTCCCCACAACAGACACCCTGTGAGGGAGGTGGGGCTGAGAGAGCTCTTGACAGAAACGGCTCTTTTTCAAGAGCAGCTCTTATCAGAACTACGGCTTGCCCAAGGTCATCCAGCCAGGTGCAAGTGGAGGAGTGGGGAATCAAACCCGGTTCTCCCAGATTAGAGTCCGCGCACTTAACCACGACACCAAACTGGCTCTGACACAGCTACCTACCTTGATTAATATTTGAGCAGTCAGTTGGCCACATCTTTTTTGACCAATCCAAAGCCAACCTTAGTTCTTCATCATCCGCATCGCTTAGTAAACAGAAACTCTTAATTAAAATGCTATTAGAGCCGATCCATCCAACATTGGTAGATGTGAAGCCACCTACACTCTGACCGTGGTCAGGCCCTCTCACGGAGCTTATTGTTTCCCCTCTGAACCATTAAACAGACCTCAGGTCATGTAAGACTGCCAATGCGGCAAAATGCTTTAAACTAGGAGGATTCTCTTTATACAAAATGCTGGTGGTGTCACGTTTGCTGTGCATCCCAAACTTAACAAAATTGCCTGCAAACCAACTATTTCTTTCATTTATTTAGACCCCACTTTCCTCCCCAATGGGGACCCCAGGTGGCTCACATCGCTCTCCTCTCCTCCATTTTACCCTCCCAACCACCCTGTGGATAGGTGGGGCTGAGAGGGCGTGACTGGCCCAGGGGCACCCAGCGAGCTTCCGAGGGAGAACTCCACCACCGTCAAGGTATCTTAAAGGATGCATCGACGAGGCCCGAGGAAGAACCTGGAAATTGTAGAAGATCTGATAAGCCGTCGCCATTGGACACGTACACCATGGGAGTACCATCTGGAACTGTGGTGATACCATCCTGGACTTAGGATACTAGTAATGGATTGAGTACTGTGGTTTTACTGTTTTGATGTTTTTACTATGTTTTTACCTATGGCATGGCTAATGACCTTGCCCCTGTTAGCTGCCCTGAGCCCACTGGGGAGGGCGGGATACAAATGTGAAAAATAAATCAATCAATAAATAAATAAGTGGGGATTCGAACTTGGTCTGACGCTCCAACCACTGCACAGTGCTGGCTGTCAGCATGATGGCAAAGAGACAGCCAATCCACATTCTGCCCCCATCTTCATGTAAGGAAAAACCACACGCTGACATCCATCATCACAGGGTGTGAAGGCCACAGCCTGTTCCATTGCTTCTCTCCAGTGACTGCCTCTGAACACAGCAGGTTCATTTATCCACTGGGGTAAAGGCAGGGCTCAACAGATCCCAGGTGTCAGGGCGGCTAGGAATTCCATTGTGGCGCCTGGTTATTTTCAGCAGTCGGTAATGGTAAGTGCCTCGTAGTGATTCTACTAGCAGGACAAAGGTGAGGAACAGAGGCTGGCTTTTCCCTGTGACCAGAGTCACCCTCCTGGTGTTTATAGGCCACAACACTTTCACGACCGCTTTTTAAAAAATCAAGAAACTGAAGCGTTTATGACTAGGCTTTTTGGGTAGCAATAATTAGAAAGCTGTAGATTTTCTGGGCTGTATGGCCGTGGTCTTGGCATTGTAGTCCCACAGCCATACTGCCCGAAAAATCTACAACTAAAGAACTCCAGCTGTGAAAGCCTCCGACAACATAATAATTAGAAACTTGGTTATTAAAGATCTAAAACCTGGAAGGCTGAAAAACAAGTCTTGCTCCTAATGTTTGGGTGGCTCAAAAAGCCTAAGGAAACTTGTCAAGGCCTGGATTACTGGGAAGGGACCGTGGCTCCATGGCAGAGCCTCTGCTTGGTATGCAGAAGGTCCCAGGTTCAACCCCTGGTGACTCCTGTTAGAAGGACCAGGGAGCACGTGATGCGAAAAACCTCCACCTGAGACCCTGGAGAGCCACTGCCAGTCTGAGTAGACAAAGCAGATCTTGATGGACTGATGGTCGGATTCAGTATACGGCAGCTTCACGTGTGCTCAGTGGCCACTGATGGCCTCCTCCATAAAATCCCTTCAATCCCCTTCTAAAGCCAAGCAAGATTTAAGCCATCACCATGTCTTGTGGCAGCAAATCCCCAAAATACACTGAGTGAGGAAGTACTTGCTCTTTGGCTAGACTCTGATGCATAATGATGGTTTTGCTACAAAGGCATAAATAGAATTCAGGCCAAGCGGGATAGGAAGTAGGAGCAGGAGAGCCCAAGGCCCTTCTGGGCTTGTTCACACTGTGACAGGCCCCGATTTGCCACTGCATGTGATCCATGCCTGCCCATCTCAGATCTCCTGATTAACACATCCCGGTGGTCTCAAGTTTGAGTATTAACAGAGACAGAAATTTTCCCCATGTCCTTCCCGACACAACTCCCAGACCCACGTACGAGCATAAATTGCCTGCACTGCTGCAGGAAGCATCAGTATGTGTGCAGTGACGGTCTTCGCTGTTGAATGTGCGTTGCTGTGTGCAATGTGCAAAATCACCCTGAGGAATGAGAGAGGCAATGTGGCCGCATAAGGAAACCTGCTCCTGCCATGAAGGAGTGCGCCCACCTATTAAAAAGGGAATGTGTCCCTTGAGTCATCTCTTGAAGTCAAACTAAGCAAGAAATTTGATTATTCGGAATACGCTGCCTGTGAGAACCTATGTAGCCACTCCTGCGTTATCCAGAGCTGAGAATCTCGGTTGTCAAGTTCCCCTTTTATAACTCGCACGTTCAAAGATGAATCACCCAAACCCAGTGCTCTCTCCCCCTCCTCCCTTTAAAACTGTAAAAAGACACCCATGACTCAAGTACCTGGGTTGTCACTAGATCAGTGCTCAAGTCAGGGAAATGTTTTCATACACGAGCCCTTCTTTGGATCCCACCCTAAGTTTACAAGAAATTAAAAAATGTTACGACAAACTGGAAAATGTTTATTGGGAGCCACAAAAAACAAAATTGTGTGTGTGTGTGTACATGCAATGCATAGACCTGGATGGCCCAAACTAACCTGATCTTGTCAGATCTCAGAAGCTAAGCAGGGTCAGCCCCGGTGAGTTACTTGGATAGAAGACAAAAAGGAAGTCCAGGGTTGCTGTGCAAAGGCGGGCCATGGCAAAGCACCTCTGTTCATCTCGTGCCTTGAAAACCCCCAAGGGGTTGCAAGTCGGCTGCAACTTGATGGCACTTCCTGCCACTGTTTTAGCCAGAAGTTCAAGGACACGCACAAGGGATCATATCTATCTGCTGGGGGCTCTGAGGTAGGAACTGGACCAAAAGCTGGGAGCTGATATATGCTGGGACTGTGTCAGATCAGAGCCTTCTGGCGGCATAAAGAGGAAATGGGTGTGGAACACGGCTTAGAGGGAACATTGGTTGCAAGTCGGCTGCAATTTGATGGCACTTCCTGCCACTGTTTTAGCCAGAAGTTCAAGGACACGCACAAGGGATCATATCTATCTGCTGGGGGCTCTGAGGTAGGAACTGGAACAAAAGCTGGGAGCTGATATATGATGGGACTGTGTCAGATCAGAGCCTTCTGGTGGCCTAAAGAGGAAATGGGTGTGGAACAAAAAAGGGAGGGGCTGTGGCTCAGTGGAAGAGCCTCTGCTTTGCATGCAGAAGGTCCCAGGTTCAATCCCCACCACCTCCAGGTGAAAGGAGCAGGTGGTGGGTGATGTGAAATACCTCCGCCTGAGAACCTGGAAAGCCACTGCCAGTCAGAGTAGAC